CTTGTAAACTGTTTTATTAAAATAAAACAGAGTGAACAAATTGTAGCCCTATAATTCTAGAATCGTAAGTTATTGGCAAGCCAGTCCACTCTCTTTCTGATCATAGTTCATCTCAAATACAACACTACATCTTATCACGTCACGCAACCTCTCCTTCACAATTAATATTCCTTGTTCACGAATGCCCATTTCTGAATCGGTCTTTCACAGTTTTATTTTTCAAGTGGTATACTCCGCTTACTCAAAGATGTCTCTATCATCAGCTTCTTTCGTGCATAACATTTTTACTCATAAGATGGTTGAAATGTAAATGTGCCACCACTATGCTCAATATTGACTACAGCTCACCACATTTAGCATGAATCATTGGAAAGTGAGATTTTATTCAAATGAATTTAGAACAGTGTGTTTAACTTACTTTCGCAAATGCTGAGAAAAACAACTTCTTTTCATTCAAGCTTTCACGTTTTCCAGTTAAACTTCCCTTGTATGTCTGAAATAAATGTGAGTAAATTAACAATAAAGAATATTATATATTGAAAATTATCCCGCTGTTGAACAAGGCATTGGGTAGACGAATGTTGACGAGAGAGCTTTCTGTGTTTAGTTAATAAGTATCTATACACTTCGGTCACTCATTTGAATCTTTTCGTGCCTTCTGCAGCTAGAAATTTCTTTGAGTCTGGTTTTCGAGTGTTTTATCGCCCTTGTGCTTTTACTTTACGGCGCTGAACGTTAGACGACTTATTCTATCACAGTTTTCTTCGTCTATCAACAGTATTGCTGCGTTCGTATCAAATATGTAGGCTGACAAGTAGCCACTAACTCGCATCGTTTTGTACAGTGAACATCTACCGGGTAATCCAACAACCACAAGCTCCTTTCGAAGAACAAAAGGCATGTGGTGACGTTTAAATAAGTTTCCTTCCCGGTATTTATAAATTGCGACGTTTCTACACTCAAAGAATCTGACATCAGGTTTCATGCTTATTCGTATCGAGGACATTCCAAGATTCTATCTTGTTCACAAGAGTCACTCTATGAAGCGTCACCCACGACCTGCTCCCCAGTAGTATTCCTATGATTGCCGCCCTTGCCTGCATCTCCTCGACATCGGACAGCTTCGTCATTCTCTCAATACGTCTATGACAGATCCTATCTTCACCATCTACAAATTGCTCTAACCAGTCATGTCCCCGACATCGACTAGTTTTGCTTATCTACACTGGAGAACCAACCTAAAATAAATCTCGGATAGTCAAATATCTTATGTTCCGCTCTCCTGAATATCATAAATATATCATTATTTCGTCGTGTTAGACAGCTGATCAAACACTAGCGAAAGATCATCGATCTATTCCTCACTTTATTGTGAAATGCGAGCGTGGTCAACTGTATGTTGCATTCGAAAATTATTCAATGAAATTCGAATTCAAGCAATGAGTTCGTTTACTCTGAATCTAGAGAGCGTACACAGAATGCATGTGTTAATTGTCAATACTAGCGATTGAGGAATAAAATGAATACTGTGTTATTCAAATTCACTTACTTCGAACGATAACATAAAACCATTTATACCAGCTGACAATTGTTCCAAATTCTAGTGAGTATGAAAATAGTTGAGATCACATAAATTTATATAACGTCTTTCACATATACATCACGTTTTTTAAGTTCAACTTATATAGTATCGTTGACAAGTAAGATGTAACGATTAGGCATGAGAAACGCTCAAAGAAGTTGAATTCTTAGGTGCCTGTACGTAGATTAAAATACAACGTGGCTACTTATGAGTTTGATCAGTTGTCGACAGTTCTGGCAATGTCGGAAGGTTTCAATTAATTACGTTCATCATTCTAGTTATATTTCAGAGAAGATATTGAATATCTTTGCACACTATGTGACAACTGATTTTAAGATGACTATTACACTAACAACTGCTCATATATGTGATTCACTGCATTTGTTGGAATATTTAAGCACAACAATGTTAAGTGATTTCAACTATGTTAGCTCGACAAATTGAACGAGTCAAAAGTTATCAAGTTTTGTGGATCCTCATATAAGATTAAGTCGTTGTACTTGTCTTCCCTGAAGTAACAACACGACACTGTACTAGGTCTTTATAACTTTCAATTGTGTGGAAAAATTCATTTCCTAAGACGTTTTGTTAATTGAAGTTTTTAATATTATTGACAATAATCCCAAGAACCTCGACAAAGGCAACAGTGAGAAAATAGACACGATAAACCGTCAAATAATTTGGTTTTGGGTTGACATTTCACCTGAACTCACATATTGGATGAATACAATTCTACAGTTTTCTTTAACTTGGTATTTCTGGCTAGTTATTGATATTAATATTCACATCTGCTTTTAACTATTTTTCTATTTTATTGAAAGACTGATCAACTTATCATTCGGAAACTATGTACAGATGACAAGTGTTTGATATCTCTGTATTTTATTACCATAATATTCATTACTATTTGAATGAATTGCACTTTCCATATCGACTAGTCATCTTTCAGTATGGATACCTCAAAAATCATTTCGAAATTGAAACGCCGAAAACTGTGTGAAGATTCGAAAAAATTCTTGGATTAAAAGTACGTTTAAATTTTTCTTACTTCTTTCTGAAGTCTTTCAGAGTTGATTTGTTCTGATAAACAACACAGTTGAGTTCTTAACGGTGTAGAAGCATTTGGTGAACACTTTGACTGATATTCTGATTGATTTTGTACGTATTCATCTCTGAAAACTGTAATGTAAATATCCATTTATTGCACTGGGTTTTCGAGAATCCAAATACATGTATATATAACGTGAATTGTAAATAGGATGAGTGCTATAAAGGTTCCTATGTCAAGTGTGAATAGTATTTCATATATTACAGCTAACAAGACAACATCGCAATGAAAACCATTCCTCTTAACATGTTAAATCTTGATGACCTGAAATAGTATATTTATACCTGATGATAATACATTTCACTACTAATATCTTACTGTCCATCATATTGCAGATACAATCACTTATATATCAAATCAGAATAACTACACTCAGATTCTATTTGCCACATTCATGTGAGAATAGTTCTCCATCAATATGAGGACTATTCAGAATAAAACGTTTTAATTTGGACAGAAATCAGATGCCGTCTAATCTAATAATACAAGTTTGAATAACAATTATTCATTGTTAATACTGCTTGAATTCGGGTGAAGAACTTAACCGAACCACTGTCTTGTGAATTTTGATAGATTGCATGTGGATGACACATCTTCATTCATACTGTTTGCATCCGGATGAGTAATTCAGAAAAACCACATTACCGTCAGTATTGAAATTGCGCTAAAATATCTACTATAAGCACCATTGGTCTCACTTCACACAGATCTCGTAGGTTCACAGAAACAGTTCACGCACACGCACATTTCTCAATTGTTAGTGACCAATTCCTAATACCTGATTGTGATACCATTGTAGTTCACGGACATGGAGTGATATCTTGAAACCTACCTGCAGACATAATCTGACGACCAAGAAGCCAACCAAGAATTCCATACTTTTCCGGCATTATTTGTGATGTATTTAGAAACGGTGGATGTAATAATCCGGATGTCATAACCACGGTAAGATTTTTGTCAAATATGTGCGGTTGGAAAGTGAAGAAACCAGGTCTAAATATTGATAAGCAAACAACGAACATTAATTTATTCAGAGAGATCAATGAACTAATAAATCGTGAAAAATGAGTGGATGAATGAACCTGTCAATAAACAATTTTGTGTAAGTCTATTTATTAATGATATATTGTACAGTGAATATCCTATTTCAAGAAATGGGATTCAATTTGCGTAACCGAATGCAACTATTTCAGATCAACTCTCCTCATGATGATAGATGCATCGAAAGTAGGACACAAAATGAGAGAATATGTATGATAATATTTCAGAGATCGTTATTAGCACTGCTATGATAACAGACTTAGTCCTAACATTTTACGTATGTCATGATGTAACTGCCTAATCTATAAGATCTTACGTGGAAGTCAAGTCATTATCTATACTGATTCATCGTGTCGTAACAATTAGCAATATGATACTTGGCATTTTTGAAGAACACATCTGAGCTGAAGAGAGGATAATAAATTTAATGCGAATAAAGACAAGTTATATAGAACGATCACGTCTGCAATGCTGAGCCATGCCATCAAATTGAGTGAGTATTCCCCCGTTCACCGTTATTGGCCTTCTCATCGTGTTCAATGTTGAAAACCTATCTTCTCAGTTATCTCATGTTCAACTTTGAGGATGTGTGGATAGGACCAGTAAAACTACACATGCAGTAGTGATTATGTATCGAAAGACTTAAGTCCCGGAAATCAACACAGTATTCATAATCTACTTATATGTGGTGTGCAGGAGAAGTAATGTTGGATGAATAGTATAAAAACTGGTGCCTTATGTTTCGATCCTGTTGACATACTCATTTTGCAAGGTAGATGTACATTGGTAAATTGAATTAGGGTGTATGAAACGAGAATTTGTCAATTATTTTAGAATAACAACTTATTGAATCCCATCTAATAATATCAATAAACGTCTGTGATCATATTCGATCGCTTAATTAAATGTGTTTACACTTTTATTGATTCGTTGTAAATTTGCCTTATTTGATTACATTAGATCAAAGTAGATTGTACAGTCTGAAGTTTTGTCCCTAAATGCTATGCAACTACATTACACTGAAATACTGACAAACACGTTTCGTTTTCTTCTGCTGGTACGACAATATTCTAAACGAAAGAGAATTTCAATGTTCACTGTCAAATAAATTGAATGATGCCACCTATTTTACCACTATTCATAAAATCACTATTTGAAACATAACTAGTTGTGAACTACAATGTCATCAATAGTGTTTGTTCTATGAACAAAGAGTTTTTTTACATGAGAGTGGGTAGTGACTAAGAAGCCATAGTATCAAAGTACAACTCACAATTCGTATCTGTGCGAAGAGGCCTTCAATGATGTTAGAAATTTAGCTTTCATCGAGTAGTATGCATTTATAAAATAGTTGTCTGCAGAAAGTTTATTCTGAAACAGAAATAGAATGATTTTTTAAAATTATTTTCAAAGTTACTGATTTATTCAATGAAGGAAATCGTTATCGTACAGATGTTTCAACATATCAACTTTCATTTCTTTAAATGCAGAAGTCATTTCATTGCAATTTCATGGAAGGTACATAAAATAACGACGACAGACTGACTGATATGATGGATCACTTTATCTTAGAAGATCAATTAAAACAATACTGGCATCAGATATGAACTATGTGAAAAACGATACACGCTAAATAATGGTCCATTTCAAAACGGTTAATGCGTTTTTTATATTTTCACAATATTCTACACAGTATAACATACACTGGACAAACATGAGGCAAGCAACTGTGTAAACCATAAACAATTCAATCTTTTGAAGATTAATCTACATATTTTCGGAGATTCGAGGTTTATTAGGTAGAATAGCTTGATGGAAGACTTTCATTTCTATTGTTGTACAACTGGCTTAATTCAGTTACAGAAGTAATGGTAATTGTTAAGGTTACCCAGGACACATTGAAATAATTTCTCTGAATGATGGCACCTCTGAAGAATAATATGTGAGAATAAGTCAAGTTTCTTCTACTCTCTATATTTCTTTCTTATGCAAAGTCTCAAATCGAAGTGCAATTTACAGACGTACCAAATAATGAATTAGGACAGTGAAACACCTAGTACAACAAAGGACATACGCAACAGCAATCATTGACTGAATGATCGATACAGAATCGAACGATCAAGAGTATCATATCTGCATTCATTCCCATTTCAATTTCATAATCCTGATGTTGAGCATGTTTAGCTGTTGGGAAACGTATACTAGTTTATATTTAAGTTATTCTTTTTTAGCGCAAATCCTTTACCATTTTGGTTGCAATATTGTTTTCATTCAATGTTAGATTTGAAATGTAGGTGGAAACGTTTTCTCGAATTTTTCTTCACGTATTTATCAACACAGTTGAAAATGAAGCTTTGTCGTCACATATTGATATCACTCCGATAAACTCCACTCATGTGCAAGTGTTTGTGAATATTTATTCTATTATTTATAAGCGTTTATGAACGTCCGTGAATGTTTTCTAAACAACTTGACACATCATTTTTGGTTCAAGATAGTGTTTTATGGATATGCGATGTCAAATTTATACGCCATTCTATTCGTTTAGTAGTCTTTGCTTCTATCTGTCGTTCTGTTGAGCTGCAAAATAAGTTTGTTTGCAATGCGTTTTGGATAGCAAAACGCTTCGTGTCGGTAACGTTAGACAACGTAAGGCGAACGTCATACGTTGTCTTAAGTGAAGTGGGTGTAGGACGTGAAATAGAGACGTTAGCAATAGGAACCTTCGAAAGAAACACTAAAACGTTTCCACGGAGTGAGCATTGAATTTGCCATTCAGAACGGATAAATAAGGCACTGCAATCAAACCATCTAGCTTGACAAATTCAACACATCGAAATATGGTAATACTTGTCTACATATATTCTGATTTTGTTCTATTCATGAGTTGAAAACAATTACACAAGTCAGATGGTGAACGGATTGATAGAAACAAATAATATTTTCTCAATCATAAACAGTCAGTCAATTATCTAGCTGAGTCATTGATCATTAAGTTCAGGAGTAATCAAATATTTAGTGTTACACTTGAGGAACGTACTTCGAGTATTTTATCGCGGCCTTTGTATTCTTCACTCAAGGATTCTGAATCCATTATTGCTACTTTCATATTGGAAACCTGAATAATACAATCGGTTATTATTCACACTATCAAAACTAAACAAACCGTTGAAATAGCTTTTTGTTTGTCATCTTCACTGCTCCACGATCCTTGAGAGAATAATTCAGTCAATTTGCGCTTCATTTCTTCAAACATTTGAATCACCTATTCCGTACAAACAGACATAACGATCAAAGTGACAAAATAAACGATACATGTCATCAGAAGTTATTCGTAGTTTATTACATGACTGTAAGCTAGTTAGGAACTGAATAAATAACGGGAGAATTGATTTAAACTCTTTCCTATTATTCAGCATATCTCATAATTCTTCCAGTTGTTGATTAACACAGACTTAGTTAATCCATCCAATCCAATTTATGTTCACAGAGAAAATTCATTTCTTAAACTACGCCTTACATTATCCGCTAGTTTCTTCAACACATGTAAGTCGTGTCATTGTAATAACCTGTCATATTTTCAACTATGAACAATAGATAAATGAGAATTTATTAAAATCGGAACTCACTTCATCTTTTGTACTCTTACTTATACTAGAATATTCGTGCTGCGTGTTTATCGTCCACCAGAAATTCTCCTTCAATTGGTGAATGCAACTTGGTGGCTTTTCATCTGAAATGTTTATTAAAATACATGAACATGTTGTTACACATACTTCAAGTTATAAACAGATAACTTTAAGCATTAATAATCATAATTAATTGAGAGTTTAGTAAGTAACACAACCTATTTCATTGTCAGATCATATGGATCACGGTGTTCAAAGTTCGTCTACTGTATTTGTATATTTCCTATGAACGATAAAGTATGAAATGACAAACAACGTCATGACTTTCAGTTGAACTATATTTCATCTTTCAAATCACACGGAAAACCAAATAAACACGAGCAGTAAGGGGCAATCTGACTGAAGTACAAGATTTGGCACTTTAAGAAATCTCACTATGCATTAACTGTGGATAAATGAAGCTAATTTATCTACAAATTAGTTTACTGGCTACTTGATCAGTTCTCCCAATTACTCTGTCCAGGTTTGTTTTCCGGCTTGTATTTCAAATAAAGTCGACACATATGTTGTTCGGTTTATCACTAATCAACGAAACGTAATTTATCTGAAATACACTCAATTATGTTTATTTGCCTTCTATCTATTTTACAGGTTTATTTAGAGATAAAGCAATTAGCCTAGAAAACGTCCATGAATAATTATGCTTATGTAACTAGCAATGGTACTTACCAATATCTGAAGGATAAAAATCTTCGACATATTTGTTCAAGTAAGGTCGCATTTTGTACAAGAAATCTATCACTAACATAGTGTGTATTCCACTGCAAGAAAAATTACAAGAACCATGTACTCCACTCATGTACAAATAGCATTTAATTTAAAATCAACAGTGATTGTCGTTCTCAACAGTCGATATCGTTAAACTTCAACATCTAGGTTTATCAGAGAGACGTGACATGGAATGAACACAATAAACACTCTTCATATATTTCTTTCTCCGTATTTTTGATGAGAAATCGACTGATATAATAGTCATTTGTATACTCTATATATATACAGTGATTAAAGTGATTTGAACAAGCTCATATGGTAATTTTGTCATTTTCAACACACTTCTTTCTTCCTACATGCTATGAAGCAAATTGTGGTTACAGATTGAGAAGATCCTGTAGATAATCATTCACCTCCAGTCTATATGAAGATTGGATGAGGACAAAATGATTGATGTGTATCGAAATAAATGTCAAACTGTCATCTTATTTTCGAATGAAAATTATTGTCGTTGTTCCGTTTTAAACCCAAGGTGTATATATAGAGACTCGAATCCAGCCGGTTGTAATATTGATTTAAGTAACTAATGAGAATAAATCAGTCGGTTGTTAGGAATATCTACATCAAACAGTATTTCTAATATTAAAGATAGGTGAATCTCCGAGACTCTCATGCATTATGCACTTTCTCAACTAAATTAATTTGAAATTCGTGTACATGAATGAGAACAACAGGATGCATACAGGATATGATAACATGGTACTTATGGAAGCCGCTTGTTTCGGTGAGACTATAATTTATGGACGAGACGATGACACGCGTTTAGGGAATATGAAAATCTCAGCGTGGATTTCAATACCTGACTCTTACGTACAATCTGTTCACAGAGGATGTTACAGATGACGTGACAACTGAGCGGCTGCAACAAATGGGACTAGCAAGACTTTCCTTTATTTGTAATTGGGGTAATCAAATGACATATGGACTTTGTGCAGACTAACATGATGATGTTGTCTTTCGACGTAATATATGCTGACGAAAGAAGCCTGATAGAATAGGAACTATTTTGCTCGATCCATACTGAGACTAAGGCAAGCCATCATAATTGTTGCAAACTGTATAACAATAGCACTCGAATAACAAAAGCTGAAACATATGTAAATGTTAGTGGAGCTTCTGCTGTTCAGTGGTATGAGCATTGTAGAAATATATACGTGATAAATATGACAAGCTTACACAACCGTACTGCACACAAATAATACTGAAGCTATGTGGTCGAGGCTGACAGAGTTTTACAGTCATATCATGGCTCCAACGGTCGACAATTATGGAGTCATATGGATGAGTTCCTCTACCGTATGCACAACGATTTTGGAACCTCTGACCCACTTTCTATTCTTGACAAGTTTTTGAACCATGTTCAAGCAGTGTATACTTATTAATTTTTTGGTTTTGTATACTGTATTTTTAGTCTACACTAACTGTTTCCTGACTGAGTAATATACTTCAGGGTGACTAAAGATTCGTTCAATGGTCGCCCATGAAATAATGTTTCGCTCATGTTTATAAAAGCAAAACAACAATTTTCATAAAATTACTTTTTCCCATATTTATATGTCATTTCTGATCTGAGAGTTTCGCAAATCTTCCGCAAGACTTCTTTATGTTGGACAATAACTTGCGATTTGTTATACGATTCATTCATGTATACATCTTTAAATAAAACCTTCCAATCGATCTGGTCAAAATGAATAATTTGAATTTAATTTACAAGTTCAACGAGGCATGTTATGTTTGAAAACAATATTTTCACACATCAACACAATATTCCACTGTTTTCATGTTGTCTGACACAGTCAATTACGTAGACTACATACTGTTGTTTTTGCTGGGTTTATCTGTCGACCTAAGCAGTATGTAACAACAATCAGAAGTTGGATGCCTGTCAAAAGAACATTGAGAAGATTGCACTTGAGAAAACAGGAAGGGAATCATGAAGGAATTCAGCAATGGAAGAAACATGAAAGATGTAAAGGACAATTGATGAAACATTCGCAAACGATGTGTTCACTGTATGGTTTTCACAAATTATGTAAGACTTTGCATTAAACAATGGATTGGTTATCCTCACCAAGTCTTCATTCACTACATATATAACACTCGAAAGCTTTCACGAGAATGTTTTATCTGCTTCCATGAACCAAACTTGAAGGAAGCGTTTTACCCTTAGTTCTCCTTATTTTTGATTGTGCTTTACCCCGTTCTAATCATGAACACAACCACACATTTACTACGAATGAAGTGACTTTTAAGAGAATATTTTAATCAACGATAGGAATACACAAAAATTCCAGTCCAATCTGACCTTCAATCCATCGTTATCTCAAATACCTGAAAATATCATATAACCTTTGTATTCACACACTTGCGAATCGGGGTAAAGAACATCGAATTCCTCACATTTTTACTCATGTCAGGGTTGTTAGCAAATTACTGTAAAATCGACCTCATTCTCAACTTACCATTGGACAGATTCCTTCCAGTTCTTCAATACTGACAGGCGTTGCTTCACCAACCACGGTTTCCTGCTGTATCTAAATCAATATGTCCACATGATAAACAATACCAGTTATTTCATGCATGATATTCAAGGAGATTTAAATAGAATGATTATGAATTGTCATTGATTTCAGAACTAGACAAAACTGTTGCTCAATGCTTGTTAGTTTGCACTAGTCCATCGACATGTAGTCAATATTCCCAGTAATTTTATCGATCTAATTTGCAATCTACGTTATACGAGCGTGATCGGTATTGTCGATTTTTCTGACAGCCTCGTGTTTTTCGACACTACCAGTATTGGTTTGATTCCCTGTGGTATCTGAGGTCAATTATCGTTTGTGAAAATGACTCATTGGTTTCATATTTATCTCTCTGATAACAAAATCATATACTATTTTATACTCAGCAAGCAACATACTCAAATGTGTCATTGTGAAGTAGGAAGCTGAGTGTCCGTGTATTCACTTGTTCCTGTAAATTCTGCATCCAATGTTCAATCTGATGTTAACCGATAAAGACCTCTATTGTACTTGCCAAATGCCATGGTTTTCACCGACTGAATACATGTTCTACTCAACAACTACTTAGTTCACCTTCTGTTAAGTAATATAATCCATATAAATTGTTTGAGATCACCACTGTGAATAAAAATTGACAAATCATTGTCGGTTTACTCACTTTTTTAATTTTTGAATACAATTCGAAAACACGGTCCATCATCACTTTCTTATCTTCACGAGCTCCTACTTTTTCTATATATTTGAACATTTGTTCTTTGACTTCTTCTTCCGATAGACCTGACTGTTGGAAATGGAAAGCGTAAGACACAAATTTGTTTCCTATCATATACCACAACAATTCAAAAAATCATGATGTGGAGGATAAACTCCATGGGCATGATGGAGAACGCCAAGTATGAACGCTTCATATCATCACGTGTACTTGTGGAGAGAACAGGAATGGGAAGTGGTTGTTGTCTGCATGTGTTATTGAAAACTAAGTCACACGCAGTAACTATCTCTTTTACAAATACACATACGAACTATGAAAGTCCCAACTTTCAAACCAACACGAAGCCAGATAAGACGTATTTTCGTTAATAGACGGCTAACAATGTTCATGGAAGACGTCATAACAAAGAAATGACCTGTTACATTATCAGACTATCACACGATCGTCGTCAAACTAAACATGATAATGAACAATCGTTGAAGAGTTGTACAGGTGATACTACAAGAATTCAGTAGACCATCTTTGATCACGAGAGAGCATTCGACAGCGTGTACATAGGAACGTGGTGGGGAGAGATGAAATGTTTGCAGATGTGAGGCACAAATCAGCAGGATAAGGAAAGCCTTCCTGAAATTGGGTTTGACCTGAAACTCAAAAGAAGTGTTACACATGACCAAAGATAGAATTTTCAACACTAATGACAAGGCGGCTCCATTGTTCAAAGCTGAAACTTAGATAACTATAAGAACCATTAGCAAAAGAAGGTATATATAACCTGATTGGCAATGTTCAGTTTGTGGCCCTTGTTCAATAGTGATTACTGGTTTCACCAAACATAACTTTATTGACATCGAAGCTATAGATCCTATTTGTCAACCCTGCTCTGATACACATATGACAATGTTCACTGGGTTTATTCTTGTTCAATTCACAAATCTCAACTAGTAATTGTATTTAATCGTCGACAAGATCCACACAACCGATAACAATATTGAATTATTAGGCGCTCAAAATAGTCAAATCGTATCATCGGAAGTTTGGCTTTCCTCGTTCTGCTTACCTGTATATGTAACCTCCTGTATTTCTCATTAGTTACTCACAAATCATCAGTTACTCGTCACTTTTTAAATGTTCCACGTAATCATGGTTGAGGTATCGAAAGATAGACAAGACTCTATTTTGGTGAAGTGTTGATGAACATTTTATCAAAAGATGCCTGAGAATAACGCTCGACCTGACCAACGTGTAAATCCATTCAAACATCAACATGAGGAATAGTGTGCACAAAATTTCCTTAGTTGAATCATTTCATGAATTTCTTCGAACCGCGTTTACTCCTCTCGTTGTTCAAATAAACTTAATAAACTATTTCGTGTTTTGAATATCACAACTAGCAACATGTTAGCAATAAAGGGATAAACAATAATTTCTTAATCACTGCAATAAACATGATTGAATATGTATGTCAGTTTCATCGTACCATGTTTAATTTCTCCTTGTCAAATGCGTCAAGCGATCCTGAATAAATCTGGAAGAAAGAGTCGAAATAAAAAGTCTAATAACCGCAAGTTATTGTCAGAAATCATCAAACCCTCATTCACAACATATTTTATTCAATGTGTGGCATGCAATGACAGTCCTATTCGCTCATTATCAAGAGAATAAACATGTCTGAATTGTTAAGTTAGACAACATCATTAGCACAATCAAATGATGTTTCATTATCGAACAAAGGTGCACATATTTCAAATAACATCAAACGAATTTCGTCGTCCAACTCTACATATTCATGTGGCCGTCTCATACAGGTCAGTAAAAATAAGCAATTCGAAAATGTGATTGGAGATAAAAGAAACGGTGACAGAGAATTTTACTGATTTCGTTGATTACGAGTGTGTTTATTTACAAATGTGTTTAGTGACACAAACTGAATAAAGTAATGGGAACTACCAATCGACTGAATTAAAATTTGTTCTTAATAAGTAGATTTTAGTGAGCCATGGAACAGCGAGAAAATACGCCAACTTGCACTTTAGGACAAATCATTGGACCAATGTACTAGAAATTGTCAGTACATGACGGTACTGTTGTCAAACTCATCAATGGAATGAATGATAAATTTCTCACAGAAAAATCTGACTCGCTTAAAATTTATTCAAGATTAACTCACGTACGTGATAACCTGTTCAGTCGTTTTACTGGTTTTCAATCAGAATTCAAATTGCTAGCATTGTAAGCTGAACAGAGTATCTAAACTATGTATTTATAACTTAATGTGCATGAAAATAACTAAATCATGTATTGCTTGAAATCTTACATGAATTAGTCGATCGTCTCCTTGTGAATAACCATCAGTCAAGTTAATGGAGAAGAAAGTTGTTCTTCCACTTTGAAATATCAGTGGTAAAATGTAAGCGGTCAGATTAAAGTGTTCAGGTTTGAGAACATTTTTCCAGAACTTGTCATATTGTCTGTCATTTGATGAAATCGCCCATCCGTTGAAACGTTCTTCTACCATTTCACGAACTTTCGACTGAATCAGCGATTTTTCCATCGAATAATCTATCGTGCAAGTCTTGTAGAAAGTTTTAGCCGCATTAATACTCGATAAATCTTTAAATTCTGTACTTTCAACTAAAAGTGAACGAAATCCATAAATTGATAATGTCAAATGGGTTTTAGTGATATTTATCTAGTTAATACCTATTTATATATTTGGTAATACATCATGATTCGCTGTACACTGCTCCATTAAATCACGCCTAAGACATCCAATTCCATTATTAATCTCGTTGTATTCCACATATCAGTCATCACGTTCATTCATGCAAGAGAGGACGCTGAATTCAGTTGTTGAGATTCAGGCATACACACCTGAGCAACTCATTTTCCCGATGTTGTTGTGTTCAACAGTACTTGTCGTTTTCCAACACTCACTTCGATGTTTGAGATACATCTTGTTTGTCATACAGAACGCCGTGTTGTTATTTCGAAGAATCACTATATGTTCCATAGATAATAATTGCATTGAGGCGGTTCACGTAGCTGAACACACGCTTTCATCAATAGATACGATATTATCCAAGTGCTTTGTAAACCAGTTGCGACACAATTATTCTAGTGACATGATCAGAGCAATAAGACAAGGCAGAATACACAGTTGTTTGAACTTCCAACTTTTGAATCACAATACAAAACACTCGAAGACAGCATCAAATTATTTGGTGCATTCCAGCCATTGTTCAGTTTCGGATGTTCTGTCTTTAATGAATGTTCAGATAACTGGTCTTTACTTTCTCTTTCTAGCTACATTAAATATGACAGCTAACTAAACCGTATTTTGATCCAAATGAACAATATTCAGAATAATAAACAGAATAAAAGCAATGAAGTGCTCGGATGAATTGTTGGGCATGATTCTGATTGGTTTTTTGCATGAAGTGTTAATTGTGCATGAAACTAGAATTGAAGTGTTAGATATATAATGTTTTGATAAACGACATTTATCCAATGCAGCGCTTCATGAATTGTGTTCCAAATGTTAATACTACCTTTCTAGCCGTCATATTCATTCAAGCATACTGTTTCATTTCAACAAACTTGTTTAAAAATGTCCGGATCTTGTTTCGCTAAATTGTTTGTAATAGTAGTTCAGAGCAAGAATTGAAAGTAGCAAGTCAGAATGAAAGCACGACAACATCTATTTTGGACTCGTGAAAACTAGTAACTTCGGTATCACGTTGCTTATTCGTTTTATTCAGCAAAAACCTCCATGGTGATGTATAATTCAGAACTAGCCTTCGTTTATAAATATAAGTAGATGTACCTGGTTGTGTAATTCCATATATATGTTGCCTAACGAATGACGAGTTCTTAACAACAACCATCATTTGCTTATAAATACAAAGCATGGGATTCAGTCAAAACGAGCACAAACCAAATCGACGTTAACTAGTTTTAAATAGATCAAGTTTTAACAAGTGTAACCACTAGACAAAATATATGTAACTCACACATCTTCATGATGATATCATCTGTTTTAACTGTCAGATTATCCGGATAATCATTTTGGGAGCGTTTGTCACAAGAGTGTTGCTCGAAACTATCACAGATTATATCGATACTACCAGTGGTATTAGTAATTGAACAGTTATCATTGATGCACGGTTTTACTTTGAACGAGAGAAGACAAAGCAAATTTCATACAGAGTAAGTGTAACTTCATGCTTATCACTCAAGTCAAAACAACGAAGTAATAAGTTCACACACTTCAGAATGAATACAAGTTATGTAAATTTAGGAATGTAGGGTAAAATTCATTGACTGAATCTCTAAAAATTTTACAGTTATTTAATCGAAGACAAGAGAAATATTCAAAACGAGCGAAAGTAATGAAGTGGTTGAATGTAATCAGATTATAGGGTAAATATATAAAGAGGAAGGAAAACGTAAACATGGACGTACGTAGACAAGATGAAAAGACTAAATTCGTGAGAAAGAAAATCACAAACACAAAAGAAAAGGTGTGAAACGAGATCAGAATCAGGGCAAAAAGGAAAATGAAAATAATAAATATAAACTAGAAATAAACAGACGATGACGTGACACATGCACTTCATCCGAACCTAGATCATCATGCATGAATTTGTGTGTCAGATAGGTTTACTATTAATCACTTACAAACGCAACTATGTAAAGCCAACTAAAAATGTAATTGTAGAGTGAGGTTTGTTGGAAATCGAGTGAAACGAGTCACTTGAAACAGTGCAACATTACAATGATCAATAGATTCCATGAAGAGAACAACATTGATAAATATTTCGTTGAATGCTAAGCGATTCGTGCTAGTTTTTATTTACCGAGATCAGCACGAACACTCCTAGCATTGAAATTACCAGCATCTCTGAGAGTTTTCAAGAACACCTCAAATTAGAATAATCAACAACTGATAATTACTGGTAGTAACAGTTCAGTTGAATCATCAGCTCTACATCATTTCTGTTGAACAGGATTCATAATGCCAAACTGAAAACACGAATAAAGCAACTACCGTACCGCATAACATAGTTCACCTCATCAACACCACAAACGAATGTGCCACTTCACGACTGATTCAGTTGACTGGGAGGAAACGATGTCGCAGTGTTGATGAGAAGTGTGTCAACATTTTGATGTTTTTCAATGTGTATTATCATTATTTTCAGCTATGTTCTATAGGCAAACTTTATATATATTTAATATTATTATCTATGATCATCGTGTTTTATAATCGATATGTCTTCACTTTCAACAGTTTTCATGTTCTTAATTCACCTCATGGCGAATATAATGATTTCCTTCAATTCAATCAATCTGTTATTCAGTATAACATCACTGTGTACTTGTTATGAGTAGGTTCTAAATAATCGGTAGAAATGACTCAACGTATATCCTGTTCATACTGGCCACCATCACTACATATGAAATTGTCTTCTGACAAATAGATACGTGTTGTGGATATATTTTCATGATGAAGCGTATGTCTTCTATGATTTCCGCTTTGTTATTCCAAACAGAGAATCTTGGTGTTTTGAAATATAAATTCCTTTTACATGTGAGTACTAGTCACCTATAAATTCAAGCACTATGCGAAGTAAATGTATATAACTTGAAACTTGAATTCTATGTTAATTCGTAATGAAATGTAACAATATAATCAAGAAAAATCAGTTTTCTTGTGGTTTGACTTGTTTCACTAAACTCTGTTTAACCTGATGTTCGAATTTGCAAGAAACACACAATAAGAGGTAGCAAATATCCGCGAAATAATCTAACAACTAACAATACAGTCAAAATTAATCTTATGTAACTGTTGTGGATGCAGAGGAATAGACCAATAATTATCATGTTAAGTCCAATGGTGTCCTTGGACTTTAAATGGACATTTTCTATTGGTCGATATCTGTTCACTTGTTCAATATTGTACAAAATGTTGTTTTCCATTTTATGGTACGATGTAGTATGCTTGATTGGTATATAAACAAAGTATGTTTGAAATATAATGATTCATATCTCCGAGGCTGTAGCTTGTCTTCTGGACTCAACTAACTGGGCTAGACAGGGAAGCAGGATCAATCAGAACCCTAGGTCGTTCTACGTGTTTGTGCGTTTTTGGTCCGATCAATAATTTGCCCCCCTTAATACGCAGCAAATAATTTTTCAGTCATAACAATTGGCGACGGGGTAGAGAAAATTTTGAACCCTCTAATTGGACGAGATTCAGCATAATTATTCTGACCAATCAGCATCCAGATTGTCATCAGCGTCCTTGATCAACATTGGTCATTATTCCTACAGTTAATTTTCATGCCTGGTGCAGAAAAGAAAAAAAATGACTACCTTTTCCGATCAATTACAGCTTCTACTTGAGCAACAACAGCAGTGTTTCAAAAATAGCCAGTTGAATTTTTTAGAAAATTTACGCACACTGTTGGTAAATTTTCCATGTTTCGGAAATGCAACAGAAGTTGAGAAGTTCATTTCTCATCTGCAGACTGATCTGGAAAACAACTGCAGAACATATGAAGCTGCCTATAAAAACCTCTGTGAATCCCGGACGACCAATGATGTAAACGAGAAAGTCATTCATGATCCGCCCAGTTGTCCAGAAATGTCAAATTCGGAGACATTCCCTGTCGTGGGTTCAAATCCCACTGTTCCTGAAACGTGTACAGACAATGATGTACCCAGCTCACAGGAAGATCTCTCATTAAATGCTCATAAATTAATTGCAGTACCCGCCCACAACGGAACAGGGAACGAATCGTGCAGTACACTGAATCCAGCTGTTTCAAATGGTCCTCATCAGTCAACAACAGAAGATTGTAGTGAATCTTATTATCTAGATCCTCTTGTACCAGAAAATGTGATAGATGCATCAAATGATGATCAGAAATCTAAAACAATTTTGATAGATGTTGATTATCTCAGTGATCAACTGTTTACAAATGAGACTTTCAACAAATCCCATGATAATGTTCCAGAAGAATCAAACGTTGATGACCTCATATCAAGCGACATTGATCCCCACTATTTAATCACTTTTAGTGACTTCTCTGTTCCATGTGACAATTATGTGTTAAATAAAGTCAAATTAATTCTAACTTGGGAATATGAGGACCCAACATTATTTCGTGGGGGAGGATGAACCAGAAAATTTCAAAATCCGGATATCAACTCCGGATCTTCAAAAAAAAGGGGAGGTGTTGTGGATGCAGAGGAATAGACCAATAATTATCATGTTAAGTCCAATGGTGTCCTTGGACTTTAAATGGACATTTTCTATTGGTCGATATCTGTTCACTTGTTCAATATTGTACAAAATGTTGTTTTCCATTTTATGGTACGATGTAGTATGCTTGATTGGTATATAAACAAAGTATGTTTGAAATATAATGATTCATATCTCCGAGGCTGTGGCTTGTCTTCTGGACTTAACTAACTGGGCTAGACAGGGAAGCAGGATCAATCAGAACCCTAGGTCGTTCTACGTGTTTGTGCGTTTTTGGTCCGATCAATAATTCGCCCCCCTTAATACGCAGCAAATAATTATTCAGTCATAACAGTAACACATGTCATCAAATAACTAACTAAAGTAAAACCGTCATGATATAACTAAAATGAAATAGTTTTTAAACATACCAGATGAATGTCTCTTCGAAAAATGTACAAGTAATGCGATTCCAACGATCGCCGCACAAGCTACACTGATGACAAGAACAAATAACAAAATTTTCTGTCGTTTGGATAATTGAGAAAGTAGCATTTTCATCCAGAAGTATGAAGAAGGTTGACTGGGTTTATGAATATAAGCTGCTTATATACACAAATAACAAAATATATATAGACTAACATAGACTGATCTATCTGATATTGATAACCATATATAAAATGAATGAATTCCATAAAAACAATAAGATATTTATCAGGTCACAGTGCCGCAAAAACAAAACACAAATATGCCAGAGCTTCACATCAATAAACTATGCCTATTTTCTAACAATAAAGAATGCTAATTAACACTGTCTCAAAATATAAAAGAATACCTTAGTTATCTTGAAAGATTATAATGATGTGTTTTACAAACCACTCTTCAATGAACGCGGATACTTTGTTCTCATTTTTTTAAATATACCAAGCGACCAATGTGCGTGATTATAGCGTTGCCACACAAATTTTATATTCATATTGTATGGTAACATTTTCTGTATGAAGTCGTAGAATTGGTATGAATCTTGGTTGTAGCAAACTACTAAGCATTCAGTCATAATTCTGCTTAAGCTGTTCAATTTGATTTCTATTTCATTTGAATTCTTCTTTTTTACCTACATACTTACTTACGCCTGTTACTCGTAATGGAGCATAGTCCGCCGACCAGCATTCTCCAACACATTCTAGTTCCATACAATTTCTTGTTCATTTTTCTCATGTCTATCTCCATTTCTCAACGTAATGCGTACTTTGGTCTTCCTCTCTTCCCCAGGCCTTGAGGATTCCAAGTGAAGGCTTGGATTTTGATGCAGTTGGGTACTTTCCTCAATGTGCGTCTCACCCACTCCCATCGCTTCTTTCTGATCTATCCCTCCGTTGGGATCTGGTTTGTTCTCTCCGATAAAAGGTTGTTGCTGATAGTGTTTAATCAACGGATCTGAAGTGTTTTGCGTAGACAACTGTTAATACACACTTATATCTTCTGGATAATGGCTTTCGTAGTTCTCCAAGTTTCCACCCCATACAGTAGAACTGCTTTAACATCTGTACAGAGAATTCTTACTTTGGTGTTGATTATTAGTTGTTTTGAGTTTTAGATGTTCTTTGGTTGTAAATATGTTGCCCTTGCTTTGCCAATCCGCGCTTTCACATCTGCATCAGATCCACCGTGTTCATCAATGATGCTTCCCAGATATGTAAAGGTTTTTACATATTCCAAATCTTCTCCGTCAATTGTGATTGGATTGGTGCATGCTGTGTTGTATCGGAGAATCTTACATTTCCCTTTATGTGTGTTGAGACCTACTGTTGCTGAGGATGCTGCTACACTGGTCGTCTTCTCCTGCATTTGTTGTTGAGTGTGCGATAGAAGAGCCAGAACATCTATGAAGTCTAGATCGTCCAGCTGCATCCGAGATGTTCACTGTATCCCATGCTTCCCCTCAGATTTTGACGTCTTCATGATCCAGTCGATCACCGGGAGAAGGAGGAAAGGTGAGAGTAAGCAACTTTGCCTGACACCGGTCAACTGTCCTCCATGCACGATTCCACAGTTTAATCCATCATTGGAATTCTGTATGATATTGACTGTCTTCTGGACACGCCGTAGTGTCGAAGAAGCTTCCATAGTGTTGTTCTGTCCATGCTATCATATGAAGTTTACGTAGAGCGATGGATTTCATTCACTTGATTGTTCCACAATTATCCGTAGAGTTGCGATTTGGTCTGCATACGATCTATCCTTACGGAATCTTGCCTGTTGGTCTCAAAGTTTGGCGTCTACAGAGTCATTCACTCTGCTTAACAATACCCTGTTGAAGACGTTCCCCGGTACTGAGAGTACAGCGATGCCCCTGTAGTTATCACACTTGCTGAGATCTCCTTTCTTTGGTATTTTGACCAGAAGTCCTTCTTTCCAGTATCTTAGTAGATATGGTCGATTCGGTTTTGTGTAGTGTGATCCGGTGAAGTCCATGTGCTTTTGTGAATGCGTTTATTTGGGAATATGGTGCCGCCTATGACCAGTTTATTGAAGGAACATAGGTTTGCAAATCTCTCACCATTTTCGTTCCTTTGTGCCAGTCCGTGCCGTCCCATGATGTCTTCATATCCAGTGTTGTCCATTCCAAACTTGGCACTGAAATCTCCCATCAGAATGGTCATATTTTTTGTTGGACAGTTCTCAACGATCGCCTGCAGCCTATCGTGGAATTAATCTTTAGCGTCTTCATTGTAGTCGTCGGTTGGCGCATAGCATAAGATGACGTCAGGAGGTGCCATAACCCACCTCCCTAAATGAAGAACTTCTGACTTCCAGGGCAGAGTTTAAAAGGTTTGAATGCTTTTTTTCTGATTAGCGTTTTTTAGCGTGTTAGTTTTCTACGGGATGAAGTCGCTAACCCCATGCCAAACCCTCCTCCTTCATCCATGCTTGGGACCGGCAATAGTCTCAGTAGGGACTCTAGACCAATACTTATCAATCATTACCGACTTACGACTTGTATTGAGACTCCGTTGCTAGCTGAGATATTTACAAGTATTGAAACATATTTGTGCTGTATATTTGATTTTTTATTCGAGTTTTGTTCTCCTGGATATCTTATCACGCGACATTCGTTTATTGTGTGTTACTCGAACGTTTCTTCACAGTTATGACCTCCACATTTACTGTGCATCACTCTTATCTGCACTTATTGTCTGTTCACCCGTACATTTACGAATTGATCAAAGTAGGACTCGCTTGGTTGGTATACACTCCCAGTCATTCACCTCATGAAATGAGTTATGTAAGTAACCTTAGCAACAGTACATATAAATTAACGAGTGTATACTATTGAAGCACTAAAAATGTTTGGAGGAATTTTCATTGATCATGGCACTTAAGAAACTTTCCTACTCGTCTATCACTTTTGTATTGGTCCCTCAAATTCATAATAGGTTACGTTTTTGCATATTTAAATAAGTGGAGACTTTCTTGGTTTCAAAATTGACTTCATGGATTTTAAGCCACCAATACCGTAGTTGTAGTTGGTAGTTTAACAAGAAGGTAAAGTATTCAAAACTGAGTGCTGCGAATTTCAGAGGCCTATCAGAAATTATCATGCGAAAATTTTGACCTTATCAAAGTCATCTGTCGCACTTAATGTGAAGTTTTCCACATGCAGGTTCACAGCCACATGATGCTTGCTAACTGATTTGTAATTCGTTTGATTCACTTAACCTCTTGACATTTTGTCTTGTGTAAAAATCATGAAGAATCTTAGCTACTTGCTTATTTACTATACCACAAAAATTTCTACTTCGAACCTCAACTGGACTGTAGAAAGAAACAAAGACGTAACAAGAAACAGCTTTACGGCACTGAAAATAATATGTCACCCATGGCACACCTGACTGTTGGGTCGGCTTCCGGAGAACTTCAACGGAGCCTCCAGAGGCCCGAAAAGGAGCCGAAGGGCCCTAGCCAATCAGAATATAATGGAACGTTCGAGAATTCCAGAGTGGCGTGCTACCATTGGTCGGCAGGATAATATGACGTTAACGGATTGGCTGAAATATGATGTTAATTTAACAGACGTCAACATCTATAAATGCTCTTGATTTTCTGTACTAGAATGAACCTTGGGAAAAAGTGTTTACTCTCATACTTGTGTCTTCTCTCTGGAGTTCAAGTCGCTGTGTAGTTCTAGACTGCGGGTTACCGGGATAGCTTAGGAATCGTATATAGCGTTCAACCTACACGACTTATCATTGGCGACGGGGATGAAAACTACAGTGAATATTTTGTAGCGGTAAATAAATCACCGAAATAAATAGCTCTAAGTTTTCGACATTGGATGCTGACCACATGTTTTAGTGGACTCATCTAGCTGAAGGCGCTCGGTCAGGCATCCGCACCAGATCACGTGTGGTAACGCTGTGCTCAACATCTACCGCAATCGCTAGCCAGATTAGATCAGACAATTCCGATATAATGGTTATCGCCAAATACACTCTTCCAATCTCCTCGACTCTGTCATTTGATTTCTCTGGGTGGGAACGCAATATATTAGGTGTTACTGGTAGAAGCGTTGTCAAACACTGAATACCTGTGATATCATCAATTTCCTTGGAGCAATTAGAAGCTTATATGGTGCGTCAAGAAAAGAAGTTTGAAGTGTCCCAAATTAGAATCATGGAAACCCTGATGCAGAAATTCTGCCTGTGCGACAAAAACCCTGCTTCTAGTGAATCTCAAGTATCACATACTGATTCAGTCATTAACGCCATCCATGAATTTAATTTTGATGGTGTAGCAGGTGTAACTTTCGAGTCGTGGTTTAAGAAGTATGAAGATTTGTTTTATATTGATCTTTGCAAACTGGATGATGCTTCAAAATTCAGAATACTTCTTAGAAAACTTGGGACTATGGAACATGAACGCTATAGCAACTTCATTCTTCCGAAGAACCCATGAGATTTTAGTTTTGATGATACAGTCAAAACCCTATCCCAAATCTTCGGAGAACAATCATCTCTATTTAATATCCGTTACCAGTGCTTAAAGTTGATGAAAGAACCAGAAGATGATTGGGTGAAGCATGCAGGAACTGCGAACCGAGAATGTGAGAGGTTTAGATTGCCGTCCATGTCTGAAGATCAGTTTAAAT